AATACCTGATTGTAAATGTATTAACAGCGGCTAGGATTGTATTTGCTAAAAACTGGAAAAATGAAAAAACACCATCACAGGAGGAAATCATTAAGAAAATATTGGAATGTGCTGAAATGAGTAGATTGACATTTGAAATTAGAGAACAAGATAATAAACAATTTTATAAAATTTGGGATCTATTCTATCAATGGTTAGACAATAAAATATAGTAATGAAATATGTAGACTTTTAGAAAATACTGAATATATAAAGATGTATTCTTTTCTTATTATATCTACAAAATGATTCTAGGATAGATTTGGGATGATAATATGAACTGTCATAAAACAAATTAAGTAAAATAAGATTATTTCGTAAAGCATGAATGAATAAAAGTATAGTCAAATGATTGATTAATAATGATATTAATGTATTTAATATTTGATTGAAAATACGAGATTATATACAATGGAATTGTAATTGAAGACTACGAAATGGAAGCACAAAACAATTTGTAAACCAACCGGCACACTGTATGTATATATATGGAAGATGGCTTGATGTTTTTATGTTTTGTTTATTTATGTTCGTTTTAAAAACCAATAAAAATTAAAAAAAAATGTAAACTCACTCAAGAAATTTGGTTAAAATAAGTTTCAGCACATTGTACAAATCTTGAAAATTAATTTATTCCATAAATACTGTGTTTAATAGGAATACAATCTCTGAAACTTCATGTGTAAATTTCACTTCCTTTAATCCTAACAATTCTTTTCTCCGTTCCAACTCTTCCAAGTATTACTGTTTTTTTATCTTAAACCATCACACTCTTACAACTTTATCAAGAAGCATAATATAAGAAGCTGAAGGGGCAAGTAGCAATTGTTAAAGCCTCAGTTTCTACCATGGAAGCCACCAACCAAGAACCAGCTTGATTTCACCTTCAAATAAGAGGCCTTTTGATAGGCTGAATCAATCACCAATAATGTCTCAGTTCCCCGTCAAGGAATGGTTTTCATAGGTCATGGGGCTCAAAGTCACTCAGCTATCACTAACCTTCAGAACAAAAGTTGGAACCACAATTGTTCAGAGTATCACTGAGGATAGGAATGCTGTTTTCTGCAGATTTATTCAATCTCTATTGAAGGTTACTTGCAATTTTTAAGACCCACCAAAGATATATCAATTGTTAGTTGAATTTCAAAGAAAAGAACTACTAAAATGAGTTTGGACTGGAGCTATCTGGCTAGTCAAGTGCAACTGTGCATGTCGGCATATATACCTAAAAATCAGAGCTAAAGCCTTAAATCTCGTGTTAAGTACTGAGAGATGCCATATGAATGTAACTAGGAGCTTAGATGTACAGGAGTTTCAAACTGATTATGGTTCAATCAGGTTTTTTTTACTAGCAGGATAGAATTTAAGAAGACATTCACTTCAGATTCTTACTTAATATTATTGTCAACTAGCTTAAAGATGAAGGTGATTTGCAGTAGTTCTTGGAAGCAAAATCCTAGCTCACAGTATCTAAGTGTTTGCTCGAAGTTCTCTTTATCAAATTTCACAATTAAGTTCTTCTTCTTTTTCATTATGCAGCATATCATTTGCATTTAATGGATCTCCTTGCATAGGTTAAGTTTAGGGCACAGCGTATACGTACATCACTTACTTCGTTTCACCAGCACATATACCCAATCACTCATACCTATCCATTACTTCTCCATGACCTCTGAGAGAAGCCATTCAGAATGCCAACAGAAGGAAGAGGAGAGATAGGTCAGATCAATTCAGGGGCAGCAGATAAGAATACCTGGATCACAATCTAATTTGATATGCATTTTCCAGAAGAAATGGATAAACTGTCTGTGGGATCCATATGCTCACAAACACACTGCATGTAATCCTCGACTTACAACTTCGATTAAATTCAGAATTTCTGTTGTTCAGCAGTGAGTTACACCCACACCCAATTTTTTTTTAACCACAGTTGTTAGGCAAATGTTAAGCAAAAGTTGCTTGTTTTGTAATAAAATCAATATAATGTAGCATGTTTTACTCCTCTCAGGTTTATGAGATTATTCCATGAATTAATGTTTAAGTTTCAAGACTGGAGAAGCATCAAAGCTGCCAAGAAGTAGCAGGAGGAAAAAAATCCCAAACTGATTCAGTGGGAGCTTTTTGTGGTCTATAAAAATAACTGATTAAGGAATAGGAAAATAATTCCTTAAATATTTCATCCACTAAAAAAAGCACTCCATCTAGCTACCTTGATAGAAGCATTTTAAAATTCACAACATAAGGTATTTGGTCTAACGGTGAAGTCACTGGCCTAGAAACCAGAAGACTATGAGTTCTAATCCCACTTTAAGCATGAAAGCTAAGCTGGGTGACTTTGGGCCAATCACTGGGAGATTTTGAGTTCTATCTTATCTTTAGAGAATGAAACTTCTTCAGTTCTGCTGAAATGGATGCAAGAATTTTGGAGTTACTCTCCTTTAAATTCTGGATAAATGTTTGGTGCAGTGGTTAAGGTGCCAGGCTAGAAAGCAAGATACCATGACTTCAAGTCCTGCCTTCACCATGAAAACCAGATGGGTATAACCTTAGGCTAGTCACTGTATCTCAGCTCAATTCACTTGTTATTGTGGGGAAAATAGGAGGAGGACGACTTATTAGGTATGTTCTCTGCACTGATTTATTTATTAAAATAATAAAAATGTTATATAAATATAGAATGATGTATTTTACTTTTTCAGCCCCATCATCATCATCTTTATCATCGTCATCGAGATGAATTATTTATACCCATTTCTAATAGAGTTCTTTTAATAACCGTGATATAACATGCAAGTGATTTAAGACAGAAAAGATTTTTTTTTAAGATCAAGGGATTAGAAAAATTAATGATTTTAGGTTCTACAGACATTAAAAGGTGTCTCTTTTTCTAAACAGACTGCTTTAAAGATCTTCAGAAATTTCGGAGTCTCCCACTGCTCCAGGTTGTCTGATACAATCTTAACTACGCAAACTAAAGCCTGCTGATTCGATCTATTATATGATCATTTTGGTTACCAAAATGGGTTGCAATCTTAGTAGCAAAAAAAATCTGTATCTATTGCTAGCCACAAGTAGAAACTTAGCCCAGAAACTTGAATAATCGTATATTATGTATCTTACAATTAATGATGGTAACTATGATTTATGATCTATGACCTATCACTTTGTTGTTTGTATGTTCACTGAGAGCTTATGCACCGGAGACAAATTGCTTGTGTGTCCAACCATTCTTGGCCAATAAATAATTCTGTTCTGTCCTATCCTCCTTTAACATCTGATGACAGAATAAATATTTTCATGCATTACAAAATGCGCTACTGCTTTTATTTACTTCTAGACAAAGAAGATGTAGACCTTAGCATCTCCTTGCTCTTAAAGATGGCAGGTCCAACATTAGCTGTAATTGAAAACCTGCAAAGCTAGTAGATACTAGAACAGTGATGGCAAACCAATGACATGTGCATCCAAGGTGACACACCATGATGTTTTGGATGACACCCCAACATTCACATGACAGCTATTCTCAAAAGCACATCCCGTTCTCATGTGATATTTTGTGGGGAGGCTGCAGACTCACAGAGGTTGCTTGAGAATAAAGTATGCTCTTGCACAATCTCTAGACCTGCTGGAAGTTGCTTGAGAGAGATGTGGTCTCTGGAGCCTCCAAAAACTGTGTGACAACCAGGCAGGCTTCAGTTTTTAGAGGCTGCAGAAAAGCATTTTCTGAAGCTACTTTTAAGGGCGAAGGACTTGTGCAACCTCAGGTATGCCATAGGGACTTGTGCCAGAGGTGATATTCAACAGGTTCTGACCAGTTCTGGAGAACTGGTAGTGGAAATTTTGAGTAGTTTGGAGAACCGGCAAATACCACTTCTTACTGGCCCCGCCCCCATCTATTCTCTGCCTCCCAAGTCCCAGCTGATTGGCTGGGTCTTCCTTTGTTGTCCTGCACAGGAGAACGGAGCTGGAAAGCAGGTTAGTGGGGTGGGGAGGGAATGGGGATTTTATAGTATCCTTCCCCCAGGAGTGAGGTGGGAATGGGGATTTTATAGTATCCTTCCCCCAGGAGTGGGGTGAGAATGGGGATTTTATAGTATCCTTCCCCCAGGAGTGGGGTATCCTTCCCCCAGGAGTGGGGTGAGAATGGAGATTTTATAGTATCCTTCCCCCAGGAATGAGGTGGGAATGGGGATTTTATAGTATCCTTCCCCCAGGAGTGGGGTATCCTTCCCCCAGGAGTGGGGTGAGAATGG